GTATACCTAATAAGGTAGGTATTTTTGGGCATTCGTATATTTTGTTATAGAACTTAAAATTAATCTAACCCTAAGCTACTTAAAAGCTACATTTTTAAATTCAAAAATTTTCAAGAACACGGTATATTGTAACATTGCGTCTTTTGTGTGTCAACCCAGAAACAAAATTGGCATCCTCTGTTTGTGTTACTGTTTTTCCCCTAATTTCGACATTTCTTCATGAACATTTATTACTGAATAATCGTAGAAGAAAAAACCCCTTGAATATTTCTTAATCTTGGTCGGATTTTTAACCATTCTCGACCTGTACTAGTAAAAACTACTTCATTTTATTACTCTCTTCATGTATTTTTCAAATTAATTCAAATAGATCACTAATTAAAACTTTTTAAGCAATATGCCAAGCAATTTTTTATCACCTGAGGTCCAATATTAATGTATATTGTTGAGGCTTAATTTCCTCTATATCTGACTCCAATAAATGATACCTCGTTAACTGAGTACTTAAGATAGAAGCCTGAACACCAGTTGTAGAGATATTTTATTGTTAAAGATGAATAAAATCCACAAGCGTACAGAGAGCAAGCACTCTGTGAAATCACGAGTGTGTGAGAGTTGAAAATCCATATATATTTTTAAGTGTCAATCAAATGTGGATAAATTATTGATTATCTGTATGTTACAACCAATAGGACAATAGATTAAGGTTGATGTGCAGACACGCGCTCAATCACACACACAGAAATTAACATAGTCTGAATTACAATGAGTAGACAAATAATACAATAGTTGAATGGGCTTGCTACAATATGTACTAAAATGTTGGTATTTCCTAGTGGATTGTGTATATGTCCATCCTAAATTCACGTCAACAGAAGTAAACTTGAATTTGTTATGGTTGTATATTTTTTAAACATCAGATTCTCATTCCATAAATCAAGTGGCTTTTCAATATAACCCTTGAAATTCCTGGATCTATCGACTTGTTTAGCTAAGTACCTCTGATCCAATATAATCCCTACACTTGGGGAACTCAATGAAGTATTAAATTGGTTGGCTATACAAGGAGGAAGTTATGCTATATACTTCTGTTACTTAGTTTGTTTTGGTTCTCTGAAAGTACCAAGTAGTTTCAAAGTATCTTTAGAATGTACCCATACTTTTTTCCTTACTAATAGGAAGATTCAGAACTGGAGTCCTACCTCATTCGCACACTAAAAACTACTTCAGGAGTTACAACTACCTCTGATTCCAAAAAAATACTGGCCTCTGAAAGTCATTCAAAAGTAAGCGGAATTTATTGTCTTCATATACACATAGATTGAATATTTTGTTATTTGAAAATATTATGACTAAAGACTGTTAAGCGCAAATGGATTTGTTGGTTTTCCATATGTTGTCAAAGTATAAAACATGAAGGTTTGCAGTCAGCATAAATATAGATATTTCCTACTCAAAAAATGTTTATCCACGATCCTCTCTGCTTTTGAGATTTTTTTTTATCTCCATTTACAATAAATGTCGAGAAGAGGTGTCTTAGTCTTCATTCGCAAATGGATCTTTACTGCAAAACTTGTTATTTTTAGCACGTTAAATATCTCTCATTTGAAGAATAACAACGAAAAATCTTATACTGTTTAGTACAAGCATTTTTAGATGGTTTCGTTACTTTCTGTCACCATTTACATGTTTTTTAAAGTGTTTTAACGTTTGGAGAATTGGTTTGTTTTAGTGAAGATAAAATATGATCAGTCACTGAGCTTGGACAAACATGCTTAACCTACTAACTACTAAATATGCAATTCCTTTTTCTCTCATTGATTTCTACCCCGGACTCACTGAGTGTGACTATATTGAATAAAGTATTATCTAGTGTTATTCCGGTTCATGAATCCTGGATTATGATATAACATGACTGATCTCATTATCGTATTTACCTATTGTAGTATTATACCCGGGAGAAAAAAATATATTTCAAGCCATCCGTTATATCAAGAATAAATTTTTCCGAGCAGCTATTTGCTAGTGTTCCAAATTACTAATGGTCGTATTGTGAGTGAGTGGAAGTCTGCGTAGATTGTTGAAGAACCATTTTTTAGTAATTGCCTAAATGTACGGTTCTCGTATTGTGGTTTTTTAACTGATTGATCTCTTGTAATTTAGAAAACACCTATATTTTCATAGGGATTTGTACTTTCTACTGCAACTCGTGAGAAATTAACCGAAATATTCAAGAAGGTCGGATCTAAGAAACCTGATGAGGTAAGTACTCATTATTTATTTAACCGACTATCTTATGTAAGTATTTGAACAGTTGCTGGCTATATTAGTTGAGTTGATTGTTGAATTTAATGTTGTTGAATATGCAACCAAAATAATCAAACAGATATTTACCCACTAAACCGAACTTCCTAATGCCCAGGAAATTTGAATATCGGAATACAGAACAGCCGATTAACTCACATCTTACTATTGGCTTGAGTTCTGTGGTAACCTATTTTCATCTATATGTAAGCTGTTGAGTCTCCTGAAATTCTATTACTATAGCACATTCCCATCATGTTTTTCTTAATCTAAACAATATCTCAACGATAATCCTGTTCCAGTTGAGTAAATATTTTATTCACGTTAATTTTGAATCTAAAAAATATGTTGGTATATTGTTTCATTAGTTCTCTGTCTTAAATAGTTACATTTAATACAAGTTAATAAATGTTCATATTAAAATCATTATTATCATTAGTTCATTCACATGTGCTATCTTCACATTCTATTTTTCCGCCAGGGTTTAAATGAACTATACGATTTCACTCAACTCTATCCAGATGTAGATTTATCGTCATACTTAACAAACACAAGCCAATTTTTCCAAGCCTACATAAAACAAGCTTTACGAAATATAGCTGTTGAACGCGCCCGTCAGGCTAGACTAAGTGCAAATGATAAAGAACCAAACACATTAGCAGCTCATCAAGTAAGTACTTCAGTTACTTTTTTTAGTTAGTCTCTTAAAAACTAAAAGATGTACTACGATCTTGTTGAGAGATTTGTTTACAAGACTTCACTCTTGTTGATAGTCTTCAATCTGGGACGTTTGCCCAGTGGTAAAGTCAACTCACGAATTACCTTTTGGAACCTTGCCCCGCCTACATCGATTTGAATAGACGGGGATACCCTTAGTCATCATGGTTACATACGAACATAAGGTGAACGAAAAGAAGCAAACAATCACAACAGTGCACAAGAAAATGCGACTAAAGATTGAACGTACATACACAAATCTGTTTTTGATTACCAAATTGGAAACCTTTGTCTCCAAAATCTCTTGTCCGATAGTAGAAGTTATCTTACTATCAGTTGTCGCTAAATGAAATCGATATTTGCTTTACTCACTTTAAACAATAAGCTCATAAGCTGTTATGCTTGAATAGATAAGTCTGAACACTGCGGCCATACAGTGAATTCCATAATTATGCTCTTTACCTATATACTGATATCATTGTGTGGATTCCAAATTTCGTGTCTAGTATACTGTCCTTATTTTTTGACAGACTAATGGCATTTTAGCGCGTCCTAATTGGAATCCAGATTTTGATGCAGATATTTCTAATGGCCAACTAACTGATCCCAAAGTATTTATGAATCGATTGGCGATGCTACGAAGAGAACTGGGTCTTGGTGGTGTATCTACAACGAACATTGATGATAATATTGGGCCATCTGATGAAGCTGGTTCACAAAATACAGCCTTTGAAACAACTCTTCGAGTAAGTCTATTTCAAAAATAAGTAGCTTCGCGAGACCTGATTAGATTCGTGTGCATTTCACAAGTAAAAATGTATTGGTTATGCTTCTTGCACTTCCAAACAATCAACAAAAGCCAGTAAGGAAATACTCCCAACTGAACACAAAATAACAGGTTTCAACTAGGCACAATTGTCATAAAAATCACTTGATTCAATCGTCATTTATCGACATTTTTTGCTATCCTATTTGTTTAACTTTCAATATTGACTTAAATTTCTTCAATGGACGTTCATTTCTAAGTTATCATTAAATTTGAACATGAATGTCACTGACTTCAAGTGTACAACAAATTTAAAAGGATTTGTATGAAGTGCACACAAATTTTACTCCAGTGAACTAGTTGCGGTTTTTAAAATTTGTTGTTAAATAGTGTGTGTTGGTCAGACTTTGAACCCATCTTTACTAACAGTCGTGCAAATTAAGTTTTAAAAAAAATATTTGTACTGGCCCCTATTTGCAATTACAAAGATTACGACATAACTACCAAAACTGAGCTGAGTAAAGCTAAACTGAACCAGTTGCCATTATTTCTGAAACTCTGATGTAGAATTATTCTCGTTCATATTCATTTGGATTCGACTGCTTATGTAAAAACATGTGAAGTAGTGCAACAACTAACATATAATTGTCGAGTGTCTGTTTGTTATAGCTTACTGTAGCAGTTTTGAGGTTTATTATCTGAGTATGCATGTAGTGTGATAGATCTTCGCTACGGTCTCCAACTGATCATCTGTATTATCAAAACAGTGATTTGAAATCGAAGTTTCCAGCAATAGCACAAGATTTATTGGTGATTTCTGATGAAGAATTACTTTCGCTATTCACATATAGAGATTAACCTTAAATTATACATAACAAATAAAATTTTATTTTTCAGAATGTGGTTCAACCAAAAGGTGATTCTCCTGATGAAAATGTTCGACCTGAAACAGAACAAAGGCCTACTATGTCCACCACTGAACTAATGGATTTGAAACGAAGACTAGATCGAATCAAAAGTGCCCAAAAGCATTAACATTTGCTTTGCGTGATAAAGTAGTCTTCCAATGCATCTAAACTTCCAATTATTTACGTTCACTAACTTCTGCTTTCCAGATGTAAATATTTCTTAGAGGTTTGTTATGAGATTTTTATGTCCAAACTTTTACGTACTACACAAAAAAGTACGTAACTAAATATACATGTGATCTTTAACTAAATTGTCTTTATACCAGTAAACATTTTTTACAAAAAAAAGTTAATTGTACAAATTTACTGTCTATCAATTAAATATATGTTTAAAATTCATGAAATTAATTAAAGGTTTGGAGACTCCAATTGCGTACTTGTTTTGCATTGTTCATGGTACATATGCATAAATTCATCTAACCGATCAACGATTACTCCAGTCAAGTTAAGTTGTGATGCTTTTCTATAAAAACGGATTTCAGACACACCATCACCATATACAAAACAGGATAGCTGTTTACTCTCCAAATCCGCTTCAAGATATTTGAGCTGCCTTTCATCCACATCATTTGTCGAACCGAAATGATATCCCACTGTAACAATCCCATTTAAGTTCATTATATGTGCCCAACTTATTGCAGAGAATATGTTGTGGTGTCGTGGATCTGACTTGTGACTACTATCATTTGGATAACCACCACGGGAAATAAACAAGACTGGAAAAAAAGATTGCTTTAACCTTAAAGTTAAGCATACGTCAGGGTTAAATGAAGATAGTATAACGTATCTGGGTCCAGCATGTAACCATATTGTCTGTTAAGGGAAAAAACAATTGTTGTTATTGTTTGATGAATAGTACGGGTCGTAGGGAAACTGAAAAGCACCAAAGGTTAATTTCATTTTTACAATAAATTGTGCGCATCAACAAATCAAAACAAAATCTTGTCTTGAAATCACAAAGACTAGCAATGAAATCATTTGATATGAATTAAGCTTAACCAGCATTTATTTCCTGACACGCGATTCAGTGTGCTAAGTGGTCTATCAACCAATTGTATCTAGTGTAACTTCGAATTAGAGACTGTTTGAAGTGGGACCAACCTTTCGACCTCTCAAGAAGCACTTACTAATCTTGTGGCTGCTGAGTTGGCATCCAAAGGATGATGTCTATAAGTTTAGTTAATTCGCGATATTCGGCAAGTATCAGTCTGGACCATTGTTTCTGTAATTAAATTAACTCATTTAACAGATACTTGGGTGTGAGCCACACTCCAAGCGTGAGGGGTAATGATGGTACCCAATCGCCTAAACTGATTTAAGTGGGATGGGGTTCAAACCCTTGTCATTAGTAGTATTTCTTTTACGTTGAGCTAGATTGGATATGTGGTCACAGCTCCTCACTTGAACTACATTCAGAACTACCACTAGTAAACATAATAACCTTTATTTAAGGTTTTTCATGAAGACTGTTGCATTTGAAGTGTCACAATGATTTGACAAATACGTGAATAAAATTTTTATTACATCTCGCTACTTAATTTCACAATAAGTTACGAGACATTAATTTAGTAAAGTAGATTCTCGAACTGATGAAATAAAAAAAATCGAGTTTATCAGTCGCTTGGTACTGATTTATTATGGGGTGTAAAGGATTATCAAAAGTCAGTTCTACTATGCTCACCAGTGACGGAGTGTTCTCAAAAGAAATCGTCAGTCGTGATGGGGATTTTCGGCTCAGGGTGGTTTCCTCTGAGCTTCAAAATTTACTTGTTATATCTTTTCAGACCAAATAAATATATTTTAACGTACTGAATAAAGTGATGAGAATCTTAATCACTGAAATATTCTGTAAGGTCTGCTGTACCGAGACAACAGACTAAATAAATAACATTTTAGAGAAAAATCCGAGATATACTAAATTACTTACATCTAATATTGTATCACAGAATTTGTTGATCTTATAGAAATATGAGGACGGTGTTGGTAAAGAAGATTCGACAGGTTTATGTTTAATTAATGCTTCAGCAATTAAATTATATGGCGTTTCTATGGGATATTTTAGCTCTACGTTAAAGCTTAGGTTTGTGGAAGTTTGGTAGAATGCGTCTTTTAATAACGGTATTGGTTCAGCCTCTTTACCATGAATATTTGGAATAGGATCACTCATTGTTAAGGGACTAGGATACTGACTTTGGATAATGTTTGCATTACCGATCGTTCCATTGACCTTTCTCAATAAGTTGCGAATTCCAGATAATTGGTAGTTCACAATCAGATCTGTGCTATTTTCATTTACTACGCCATCAGCTTTAAACGTAAAAGGTAGGACAACTCAGATAAAAATTACAAACAAGCACTGGTGAAAAACGACTTTAAAAGGTACACAAAACAAAATCCCTTTCGTATTTAAAGGTTTCTACTATAATCACCATTGCTACGGTTTTTTCTCATCTCTTTTGCTGCTTTCATTTTCAAGGTGAATCGGGCGAAAAAGATTGCTTTCATTAATCCTGTACCAGAGGGACAAAAATTGCTATAGATTCATCTAATTAACTTATTTAAACCAGGTTAAATAGCGTGCTGTTAATATCACGTAAAAAATGCAAACATAGACCGTAGAGACCATAGAGAAGTTTCCCTAAAGATAACACTGTTTAAGCAATAGAAGTGTGGACTGTGTTACTTTACGTTGGTCTTTGTACTTCTTGTTGAATATATATATGTATCTTATAGTATCAAAAACAACCTAAATAGACAATAAAAAAGGTTCTTCCTCAGGCTCGTCAGACGCAGTATTTATTTGATAAGTAAAGTACTTTCAGTTTACTAATCCACATTTTTCGATTATCTGATGCTGTTGCAATAAGTTATTGCTACTTCTTTTCTAAGATAATTTGGACTCGACACTAATAATCCTCAAAAGAAATTACAGTTTAACCAGTAAACTACAGAGAAACTAACTTACTTTTATGTTCTAAAATGAAAGTTGGTGGATCGTTTTCAGATTTTCTCGGTTGCTCACATACTCCTAGTGTGAAGTTGTGATGTAAAACGACTTCAGAATCTTTTGTGATATTTGCATCACATTCCACCATTGTTACTCCAAGTTGCTCAGCACGTCGAAAGGCGCATATTGTGTTCTCAGGCCATTCAAGCCCTTTACCATGATGTGCGCGTTTTACACCAGCACCAGCATGACCGACTATGATTGGTTGGGAGGTTGCATTTTGATGCAGGGATGAATTGACTGGAGGGAGGCACAAGTAGAGAGGTGTTCTGTGGTCTGTATGAAGTGGTTTGTAGCCAAATATAAACAGATAGTACACTAAGTGTGAAAAAAAAGTTAAGAAATATTTTAACAAGGATGAATCCATGATAATTAGTAGATACATTGACAGAATATTTGTCAAAACTTCGTGAGTAGTTCATCTTAAAATGTCGCTTTTGATATGCCTTTCGTATTATTTGAAAACCTAGAACAAGACTGATGCACTACACAAAAAAACCTAGATTTATATAGCATTTAAATCACAACTGAACAATCACATCATGCAAAAGTGAAATCTACTATACGGTGGGGAAGGTCTCACGGAAACTGTTAATTAGTGTACAGTTAGTTTCCATCCTTGCATAAACGTAGCGGTTTTACCTAAAACATGCAAGTTTGATACCACTCAACAAAACGTGATGTTTTGATGCTAGAAAGTGTGTGATCGAATGAAACGTAATGCTGTTGCATGATAACTTGAAGTCTTAAGTCCTGCATCTGTTCCAAATATGCAGACATCGCCTAATCACGTCAAAGTAGTTTATTTTGATAGTAATATCTTTCAGTTAGTGAAAGTAACATCAAAAGCAGTTTAACATAAATACCAAATGAAAAAATCTCAGTAAACACATCTTTGTGATCGAACAATTGATTTAGTAATCTAGTTTTGGCATATTCAACACCTAATTGTCAAGAAATTATTGTAGTAATTACTCACGGTAAATTTCATCCAAAATTCCGCTAACTGAAGAAACTGGAAGACAAAGTAGACCCTGGTCATCGTGGTAATCTGGACGTAAAGTGAATGAGATACAAGATTTTTCGGAACCAGAAACAGTTTCTAATTCTAAATCAACAGACTTTAGGGTAATTTAATAGGGTTTAAGATGTTACCAATGTAGAACTCATTGATGAATTACGGTCCGAAACAAGGAAACCACTGGCTGCGTGTGGAGTTACAGGAATCCATCTTTCCTTATAAGAAGAACCTTCAACAGACCATGATAAAGATGGATCTACACTACAAGACTAAAATTAAAATACATATTGTAAAAAATTTAAAAAATGTATATATGGTACCAGTATAGTCTTCACTCGGTTAATGAATATTATTAATTTAATTAACTAGTAGTTCTGATAGCCAATTTTTCTCCTGTTTCATATCAGAATGAATCACAATAGTAGTAATCATAGAAAAAACACAACACCTAACGTAACTAAATTATTTGGAAGCTAATCACTAACATTAGCCACCTTAGTATCTTGAGGCATCCTGGTTTATTGTCGGTCCTAAGCCCAAAGAGAGGAGGGTTAAGCACGTGGTCAGAAACCCCATCCGGTAGAAAACAACCCTAACAACAAACGTTTGCCAGAAAGTCTTATAAAGCATTTAAACTCTGTCCTGCGACTTGAAGAATATCTATGTAGGAGGATTATAACGCCTCATTCTTCGTCGGTCACGAGGCCGATGCCCCTTCTAAAAACCACAGCAACAATGAATATAGGTATATGGGACGTACGCACAACGTGAGAAACCGGGAGGAAATGACGAGGTACAACTTGGCGACGATCGGAATCAGTGAAATCCATTCGACCCAAGCTGGATAGAAAAGGATAGATTCGGGAGGGATGCTGCTGTAGTTTGGTCACGAAGAGGAAAATGCTTCAAGCACTCAGAGAGTTATTCTGGTGCTGTCCAAAGAAGCACGAAAAGCAACTATAGGATGGGAATCTCATGGATGAGCAATCATCAGAGAATAATTCAAAACAATGAAGGGAATCACAATGAATGTTGTCCAATGTTATGCACCCACTAATGATAACAACGACGACGATAAAGGTGTTTTATGAGGTTGCAGTCGATCGTAGAGTACTGCCTATGATCTGACCATCGTGATGGGAGAACTAAACGCCTAAGTCGGGGTGGTCAACACCAGTTATGAAAATATCATGGGACGACATGGACTAGGAGAATAAAACAAAAATGTTGACAGATTTGCAAATTTATGTGCGTTCAATAAAATGGTTATAGGCGAAACAATATTCCCCATACCTGCATACACAAAGCTACATGAGTCTTACAAGATCACGCTACAGAGAACCAGACTGATCATATTTGCAACACTAAAAAATTCAGATCAATGGAAGAAGTGAGAAGAAATAGAGGAGCTGGAATAGCTTCAAATTATCAATTGCGTGTGGTCCAGATGAGGCTAAAGTTAAAAAAGCACTGGACAACTGAAGAAACGGTATTACAAAGGTTCAATACAGCCTTTCTTCAAGATACCGACAAACTCAACTAATTCCAGATAGGTCGCAGCAACAGGTTCTAAACCTTACAAAATCTACTCACAGAACAACTAAAGAGATTGAAGCACAAACTTCAACGTGCTATGCCGCAAGAAGCACCATCACAAAGAATGGTTCGATATAGATACCCTAAGCAAGATTCAAAAAAGTTGCAAGAGAAGGAGATATGATACAATGAAGAAATAAGCAGGGAAATATTATAAACCCGAGCGACCAGACAAGGATGAAGATGCAGACAATCAGTGTAGCAGCAGCCTCTGTGGCAATAGGCCTCAACATACACAAGGCAAAAAGCAACATCCTCAAATACAACACACAGGACACCAACACAATCTCACTTGATGGAGGAGCTCTGGAAGAGGTGGAAATTATCACGTATCTGGGTAGCACCATCGATGAACAAGGAGGATTCGATGCAGATGTGCAGGTGAGGATTGGCAAAGCGACAGCCGCACTCCTGCAGTTGAAGGACATATGGAACTCAAAACCACTGTCAACCAATATCAAAGTGAGAATCTTCAATACGAACGTAAAGACAGTTCTACCGTACGGAGCTGAAGCTTCCAGAACTACCACAACCGTCATTAAGAAGGTACAGGTATTTATAAAGCATTGTCTTCGTAAGATACCGAATGTCTGTTGGTCGGATACCATCAGCAACGAACTACTGTGGTAGAGAACAAAGCAACTTCCAACTGAAGAGGGAATTAGGAAAAGACACTGGAGGTGGACAGGACATACATTGAGGAAATCATCCAGTTGAATCACGAGGGAAGCCCTGACTTAGTATCATGAAGGTAAACGGAAAGGAGGAAGATTGACGAACAGATTGCGTCGACAATTAGAAGCAGACATGAAAAGAATGAATAGGATCTGGAAGAACTGGAAAGGATTGTTCAAAAACAGATTTCGATTAAGAATGCTAGTTGGCGGCCTATCCTCACCCAAGGATTAACAGGCGTAAGTCCTGTACACATAACAACAGCTCAAGAAAACTGTATAATACCTTGTTGTTACTTCTTTTGTTTATAACTCCTGGATTATATTTTTTGAGCATAAATAGTTTTACTTCGTTCAGTAGTTTTGAGATCTATAAAACATACTCGTGCCTCTGTTTGAGCAACCAATTAAGGGGAAATAAAGACGATTTATTTACCGCTACAGGGGAAATGTAGCTTTTTCGCCTTCACGTCGGTTATTTAGGGGAGCATGATTTCTGAGCAATACTACCTACGGACATAGTCTTTATTGTTTCCTTATTCGAAACAGTAAAGTGAAGTTATTTCTGTGACTAAACTGACAAATTGAATAGGGTTAATATACGCAACATCCTCTTGAAAAACTAAATGCACAAAGACGAGGTTATTAGACAAAAACCTAATAAACCTACGCATTTATCTTCGTACATTATCTAGAGCAGAAAACTAGTGGCATACAAAACCTTTCAAAATCAGGAATTCGAACTGGTTCGGAGCGAATCCTTTAAGTTTCGAAAAGTTGATGAACAACACGGACTTACAAATAACATTAGTTTATCGAAGGCATCAACCTTTTCTATACCCATTTTCAAAGATCTAACCCGCATCTTCTGGAACACAGAATTTTTTGAATTGACCGAGTAAATGACCACGGCCACATAGGATTTCATAATTATATAATATATGATATCATATAGCAGTAGGAGTGAAGTTATCGGGATGTTTCGTTTTTAGTGAAGGCTTCCGCGTTTATTAAATCTTTACTGAAAATAATTTAAGATACAAAACATAGATAAACTTGTGAGATCCACTAATAATTCGTTTTATATATTTCGCATTGAATGGTGAGAATACGATGTCTCGGTAGTTTCTTCCAATTAATCCGGCCTTCAGTCCACCTGATTTAATTAAAATCACTTGTACCCCAAGGTGAATAAATATATAAATTATGTTATCACATTACGACATATCGCCACAGGAAAACGTCGGCAACACTTCAGGGGTGTCGTCCACTGATAAAGGTTGCGAGCACTTGAAGGTCAAACTGTTGCAAGCTGATTGGTGCACCACATCGACAATTCGTGAAGTTTGTCAGAAGCGGTCAAATCAATACATTTTTAGATTTGGATTGAGTTCAGCCACACCATGTCTGATAACGTCCATCCTACAAGTAACGAAGACGACACTGTAGCGGTAAATAAATCCCCAAAATAAATAGCACTAAGTTTTCGACATTGGATGCTGACCATATGTTTTAGTGGACTCATTTTAGCTGAAGGCGCTCGGTCAGGCATCCGCACCAGATCACGTGTGGTAACGCCGTGCTCAACATCAACCGCAATCGCTAGCCAGATTAGATCAGAGAATTCCGATATATTGGTCATCGCCAAATATACTCTTCCGATCTCCTCGACTCTGTCTTTTGATTTTTTGGGCGGGAACGAAATATATTAGAAGGTGTTACTGGTAGAAGCGTTGTCAAACACTGAATACCTGTGACATCATCATTGGTGAAATCGACGTGATCTATTACACCTAATTGCAACTGTGAGTCTGTTCCTTTTTGGGATTTTTATATATCATTGCCTTATTTTTTATTTTTTTAAACATTGTGATTTTTTTTCGTGTTTTTTCCTGGACATAAATATTTTCCCCTCGTTCATTATCGTACTTCATACTTCATGACTGAACAGACACCTAAAGTACTCAAGCTTAAGACTTTGTCCCCGCCTTCGTTTCAACTGATGCCTTTCTGGCCTGACAACATCGAAGCCTGGTTTTGCTACGCAGAAGCCGACTTCTCCGAGCACGGCGTGATCGACACACGTGCACAATTCCTCGTTGTAGTCAAGGCACTACCGCGCGAATTCAACAGGTACGTAACACCTAGTATGTTTATTAGTGATGTTTCCGATCCTTACGAAATCTTAAAACGCTCGATTCTTAAACGAGGAGACCTAACCTATCGACAAAGGTTAGATCAACTCTTCAACAATATCGACCTGCAACACGGTTCTGCGACAGACATGTTGCAACGGATGAGAGAGGTTATAGGCCCAAGAACTTTCGACGAAGGTCTGTTCAAACAACTCTTCTTGTCAAAACTTCCCCAACAGGTGCAAGCAGTTCTGGTCTCGTTCCAGAACAACGCCTTAGACGAGCTAGCTGCATCTGCCGACCGCATTTTAGAAATTACGAAATCTACTACCGAGGTATTTTCAGTCAAAGAAAAACCTCAAACGACTCAGAATGATATAAACGACTTATGTCACACACTCACGCGTTATCTTAGTCTTCGTACCGACCGTAAGAGATCGCGCACACCACGTAGAAGCATTTCTCGTAAGCGATCTGTCTCTAGACCACGAGAGACAGATAACCCCGACTGGTGCTGGTATCATAACCAGTATGGAAAGCTTTCCAGAAATTGCAGAAAACCCTGCAATTTTCCCAACACGAAACCGACTGATTCGAAAAACAATTCGGGAAACTTCCAAGCCGGCACGCGTTAATGGCAACCGTAGCCGGCGAACAAAGCCGTCTGTTATTCGTCACAGATGTGACAACGAGAGTTCGCTACCTCGTCGACACTGGCGCAGAAGTTAGCGTTCTCCCAGCAAATCCTAACGATCGACTACACGAATCGACCCTAAACTTACAGGCGGCAAACGGAAAACCGATCGCTACGTATGGCAAAAGGTACGTTTACCTTAACGTGGGTTTACGCAAACCCATCCACTGGATTTTCGTTGTTGCAGATGTTTCTATGCCAATCATTGGTATGGATCTTCTACAACACCATAATCTGATCATCGACGCGCGCAAACGGAGTATCCCCAGTCACAGTTAAACATATGATAGACCCACTCTATCAACCACTACTCGATAAGTACCCTGAGATACAACAAACTCAAACGAAACTACCGTGTGTAACCAGCAATGTCACACATCACATCACGACTACAGGACCACCTGTATTTTCTAAAGCACGCCGACTAGCTCCTGAAAAGCTAAGGTTAGCGAAAAACAAATTCGATCACATGATGGACTTAGGAATCATACGACCGTCAAGTAGCCCATTTGCATCTCCGTTGCACATGGTCCCTAAAAAGGACAGCAACGATTGGCGTCCAACTGGTGACTATCGGCGATTGAACGCGAAAACCATTCCCGATCGTTATACGTTGCCACACATTCACGATTTGACAGCTACCTTGAAAGATACAACTGTCTTTTCGAAAATCGACTTGGTTAAAGCGTATAACCAAATCCCTATGGCTACTGACGACATTCCGAAAACAGCTATCATAACTCCCTTCGGACTCTATGAATTTTTGCGAATGCCTTTCGGTCTAAGAAATGCTGCTCAAACATTCCAAAGATTCATAGACGACGTTTTTCGAGGTCTCAACTTCGTACACGCGTATGTTGACGACTGTCTAATCGCAAGTCCGGACAGAGAAACACATCTCAAGCATCTGGATCTTGTTTTCGAACGACTTCAAAAACATGGCATAACTGTAAACGTTCAGAAATGCCAATTCGGAACCGACTCGTTAGACTTCCTAGGACACACTATCGATACTCAAGGCATTCGACCTCTTTGGACCAAAGTGGCGGCCATTCTGGATTACCCAGAACCGACCACCGTCAAGCAATTGCGCACGTTCAACGGCCTGGTAAGTTTCTATAGACGTTTCATACCGAAATGCGCATTACTTATGAAACCTCTGACCGACCAACTTCGTGGAAATGCGAAATCCATTAATTTGGACGACACCGCACGAAAAGCATTCTCCACAGTTAAGGAACTGATCGCTAAAGCAACAATGCTCGCACATCAGGACACCCGAGCACCCATTAGCATCGCAGTAGACGCATCCGACTCAGCAATCGGAGGAGTCTTACAACAATGGGTTAACAACTCCTGGCAACCCTTGGCATTTTTCTCTAGAAGGTTGCTAGACACCGAATCGAGGTACAGCACATTCGGTAGGGAACTCCTAGCTATGTATTGTGCTGTACAGCATTTCCAACACTACATCGAAGGTCGTGAATTCACTCTTTTCACGGACCATAAACCGCTCACTTTCTCGTTAAGCTCTCCTTCAGACAAGTTCTCTTCCGAGCTTCAAAAAGAAGACAGTGATCTTCAGCACAAGTTATCGTCCACAACACTTAAACTACGCATCAAACAGATGGGAACAGGTAAGGAAACCTTACTTTGTGACACATCTACAGGTAGGGATCGCCCAATCGTGCCGAAACATTATCGACGCAATGTCTTCAACACATTGCACAAACTTTCTCATCCCGGCACTCGTGCAACAATCAAGCTTATAGCAGAAAGGTTTTGCTGGCCTGGAATGAATAAAGACGTGAGGGAGTGGGAACGCTCCTGTGTAAGCTGCCAAAAATCTAAGGTTATCAGACACAATAAATGTCCGTTAGGCTCGTTTAAAACTCCCGATGCTCGTTTCGACCATGTTCATTTGGATTTGGTAGGAACTTTACCAGATTCAAATGGATACTCTTATCTCTTAACCTGCGTAGACCGTTTCACTCGATGGCCAGAAGCAGTACCTATCAAGGACATCACTGCTGAAACAGTGGCCCGCACCTTCGTCGAACGATGGGTAGCAAACTTCGGTCGCCCTTCAACCATCACTACAGACCGCGGACGTCAATTTGAATCTGATGTTTTCCGTCGTCTGACCACACTTTTAGGAATCACTCGCTTCCGAACGATCGCCTACCATCCACAAGCAAACGGTTTGGTAGAATGTTTTCACCGACAACTGAAAGCTTCACTATCAGCTGCAAACTTTTCACAGTGGACCGACGCTCTCCCACTCGTCTTACTAGGTATCCGCAATGCAGTGAAAGCTGACATTGGATACTCTGCGTCGCAACTCGTTTATGGAATGACACTTCGACTTCCAGGAGAATTCGTGGATCCTTCATCCTCTTCAATGAACATGGATCTAACCTCCTACACGAACAGGCTTACAAACGCAATGCGTTCAGTTAAACCTGCTTCCACTCGACCTCAATCAACTGATGTTTTCGTTCAACCTGACTTACGATATAGTACACACGTTTTCGTTCGTCGAGACTCGCATCGACGACCATTCGAATCAGCATACGAAGGACCCTTCAAAGTTCTTCAACGTGAATCTAAGTACTATATAGGTGTCATTACCAAGGTTTGATTTGATAATTTCGAATAAATTGAGCATTGGGTTGATTGTTATAAATAAAAATAATATATTTGTAATATCCCGATGAGTAGAAAATTGGATTTTCTGACGTTTCGTGGCTTAGTGTAAGTCACTTCTTCAGAGAATAAATAACCAAATTAAAATTAATCCAAGTTTAAATAGTACAACGGAACAATGCAAGAATAATATTTGATCAATCAAAAAACAGGTCTGAACAAGTTGATGTCATGTCATTTCTGTCAAGGTGATTCATAAGTGATAAGTATGTAAATTTGTGTGTGTATGTATATGTGCATTGTTTAAGTACTATATAGTCGATAAGAACGGAACCAACGATAGCATCAGCATCGATCGCTTAAAAGCAGCGTATTTAGAAGGAAATCCTATCTACGTGGATTTTCCTTCGGTAAAATCGAACGACACGACTCCGACACTTATAATACCTCATCCGACAACCAACACACACGATGATACTTCGACAGTATCCGAAAATAAACTTAAAACGACGCATTCTGGAAGAAAGGTGCGATTTCCAGAACATTTAAACGACTATTGCACGTAAGGTACTTCTCGACATTTTATATTATTTTTTTTAAAAAAAACAATTTTAATATGCTTATATATTTTTATTTCTATTTAAAAAAACAAAACAAAAAAACATTTTTTTAACGCTATTACGTGTTCATGAGTTTATTTTCCATTTTTTCCGCCGACATTGTGTTTTTTTACGCACATACGAGTGTATTTTCGACATGCACTTACATTTTCTTTTTTCTTTTCCAGGACGGCTGGAAAAG